TGAAGAATAATGTTTATAGCATGCTACCCTTTGTGTCAAAAAAGAAAGGAATTGTCCTGGCCAGGTGGCTCACTTGGTTGGAGCACTGTCCTATAAACCAGAAGGCTGGGAGTTCAATTCCCAGTCAATCACATACCTAGGTTTTGGGTTCGATCCCTGGAGGTGTGCTTTGAGAGGCAAGCAGTCAATGTTTCTCTCTCACATTGATGTTACTCTCTCTCTCTTTCTCTTCCCCTTCCTCTCTCTCTAAAATCAATAAACATATATAAAAAAAGAAAGGGATTACTGCTACACACACACATACACAACACACACACAATATCTACCAGGATTCACAAGAAATTAATAACAGCACTTGTCCCTAGGAGGGCAACCGATAGGCAGGAAAAGCATGGAGACTTATTAGTCTTACTAGTCTTTGTATGACCTTCTGTGCTCATTGGATTTGTATTAACCATGTGTGTATTACTTATTCAATTAAAAACTCAAAACCGGCTAATGAAAGAAGTTTACTGGGTAACCAACTAATTTTATTCCCATTTTAAATAGTAAACATGTTGTTTCTTGAAGACTTCTTATACTCTATTATTCATCTATTCATTCAACACATTTGAAATTTTATTTTTTGAGAAATAAAAATTGTATATATTTAAGGTGTACAACATGATGTTTTGATATATGTATACAGTGTAACATGATTACCACAATCTAATTAATATATCCACCACCTCCCAAAGTTACCATTCTGTGTGTATGTGCTGAGAATACTTGAGATCTACAATCTTAGTAAATTTCAAGTAGACATTATTATTGATCATAGTCATCATGTTGTACAGTAGGTCTCCGGAACTTATTCATCTTATAATCTAATTTTATCCCCTTTGATCAATATCTCCTCTTTCCCCTAGCCCCCAGCCTCTGGTAACCACAATTCAACACTCTGTTACTATGAACTTAATGAATTTTTTCTTGGATTCCACATATAAGTTACATTGTGTAATATTTGTATTTCTGTGTCTGGCTTATTGCACTTAGCACAATGTTCCTCAGATTCATCCATGTTGTTGCAAATGGCAGGGTTTCTTTTCTTGTTAGACTGGTGTTCCATTTTATGTATATACCACATTTTCTTTATTCATTCATGTGTCAGTGAACACTTAAGTTGTTTCCATCCCTTGGCTACTGTGAATAATGCTGCAATGAACATGGGAGTGAAACTATCTCTTCAAGATAGTGATTTTGCTTTGGATACATACCCAAAAGTGGGATTTCAGCAGATATTTGTGAGTGCCTATTACATGCCAGGCAGGCACAGAATTATATGTTGGGAAAATAATGATGAATAATATAGGCACAATTCTTGCCTTTGTGGAACTTACCTTCTAGGAAAATGGCAGATTTGAAACAAGTATTTGATATTTCTAATAATGAAAAGTTCAACTAAGAAAGGGGATGGGATGACAGGATACTGAAGCTAGTCTGTGGACCCAATGAAGACTTGCCAGAATACGTGATGTTTCGGATGAACTGCCAAATGAGTAGGCTTCAGCTGGGAGAAAAGGGGAAGAAGGACAAAAATGCGCCTCAGGCCTATGTAACAGCGTGTGTAAAGGCCCTGAACTGGGAAGGTCCATAGGGTATAAGGGGAAATAAAGGAGAGCCAATATAGCTGGAGCTTAAAGAGAAAAGGATGAAAAGTGTAGGAAGAGACTGGAGAGTTTCACAAGGCCTTCTCAACCACGTTTAAAATTTGAGTATATTTTAAGAGCAATGGGAAATCATGAAGGATTTATGTAGAGGAAGACATTATCACATTTTAATTTTTAAAAGTTTACCTGCAGTGTGGAGAGTGAACTGAGAAGCAAGTGTAAATAATGAGTCCAGCTGTGGACTCTGTCATTACTGTCATTGTCTAAGCAAGAGATTATGGGTACAGTACAGAATAAGAGGTGGATTTATTTACAATATATTCTTTGAGATAAACCTGCCAATAGTTGCTGATGAATTGGTTTAAGGGTGAAAAGGAATGTTATATCAAGGATGATTCTTAAGTTTTTTTTAAGGTTTTATTTACTTATTTTTAGAGAGAGGGGACAGTAGGGAGAAAGAGAGGGAGGGAAACATCAATGTATGGTTGCCTCTCGCATACTCCCTACTGGAGACATGGCCTGCAACTCAGGTATGTGTCCTGACTGGGAATCAAATCAATAACCCTTTGGTTCACAGGCTGGCACTCAACCCACTGAGCTACACCAGCAGAGGCTGATTCTTAAGTTTTTGACTTGAATAACTGATTAGAAGGTGGTACCATTTCTAACATAGGGAACAGTGGACGAATAGGTTTGGGAGTGGTGTTGAAATGTTCAGGAGGTCAGTATTGAACATGTTCAGAAGAAATGTTGAGTAAGGGGTTGGGCACATGGATCTGGAACTCAAAAGAAAGACCAGAAATAGAGACCATTAAATTACTGGTTTGTAAAAAGATGATACATCACATTCCGCAGTTGAAGAAACTTTTGAATACAAGACAAATGTTTAGGTAATCATGGATTTCAACTTAGGAAACCACTAAGTACCAAATTAGTTTGACAGATTTAGTAGAGTAGAGTCACTTCATTGGTATCCATCATCTTATCTTACTGTAACTTATCCAACTGAAGCATTTCAGTGCTCAAAAGTAGATGCCCTTAGAACAATAGAATAACAGCAGTTCAGCTGCTTTGCCTTATTATGTTTTACTGAACTTATTAACTCTTATACTTATCTTTGCAAAAAATTACAGAAATACATTTAAAAGAAAAGGTATTTTGAATATTTTCTCCATACAGAGGCTTTCTGTTTTTCTATTTCTTTCCATGTCCAGAGAGGGTGTGGTAACTTTCAAGAGAGAACAGATAAATATACGTTGGCAATTTTATGTTTCTGAGGATTGTGCTTTGTAGCCTCAGTAAAAGCAGATTTGAAATTTGGGGCAGAACATGTTGGAAAATTAGCACCACGGTGTATTTGTTTATTTTTTAAATCTCCCTACATGTCACCTTTGTCACGACAGGTTTTTTTGTCTGTTTTGTTCAATGCTGTAATCCTAATATCTAAATTAATGCCTTGCAACATAGTAGGTACTCAATGCATATATAAGGAAAACTGGAAGTTAGATATATTCATATTCAAAAGGCTATATATGCACACACTTACATACACATATATGTCCAAAGTAAGATAGAAACACTTTTATTCATTGTGTTTTTAACCACCATTTATGGTTTCTTACTGTTAGAAGAAATTTTGGAAAATTTCCTGTGTTTACCACGTGAAAATTATTAATTTCCATTTCTACTGGTGGTATTAAGAATCTCACAAATACACAGATAAGATCTATCTCACTTCTGATAATACTCATATGCAATGTTGCTGATGATTACGGCAAAATGCAGCAAAAGCAGTAAAACACAATTTTAAAGAATTTTCGTGGAACTTTAGTAAAGTAACAAATGTTTTGTGCTTTTTGAAAATATGACACATCATGGTGGTTGGCAGATATATATTTGAAGACTCAGTCCCTGTCTCTCTGTGAGAGTCACCATCTATGACAGGGGTCAGAGAGCAAACATTTATTAAATTCCTCTTATGCGCCAGGCTTACGATAGATGAAGTAAGTAAAAAAGATATGTAAGGCATGGTCTCTGTCATACAGGGGCTTATAATTTTGGCTGTCATGTATGTGTTTTTGTGAGAATGTGTGGACATATGTGTACTGTTATAGAAAGTAGTATAACTGCAAATACTTGCAGTGCAATACGGGGGGTTCTGACAGACTGGTAAGACTGTGCAAGAAAACATAGGTAACCCAATAAAGGGAGGAGATGAAGGGAGGAGGTGGTAAAAGCAGAACTGATCTTGGGGATCAGTGTTAGCTAGAGAATGTGAGGATCATTCCATGTGGAAGGCACAGGGGTGATTGGGGAAGACAGCTCAGATGACATGTGGTGTAAGGGAAGGTCCACTGTCGCATTTTCTCTTTGGAACTCTTCTAAGAGAACTACACAGTGAATTTCTAGGATCGAAAAAGTAGCTTTATTCACTCCCCTGCACTCCCCTTCTTTTTTTTCCCTTGGGATTGTCAGACAGCAAAGCATTTCATATAATGGGGAGGGGGTCGGGTGTGGGAAGAAGCTGACCTTGAACATCTTTATGAGAGCTGTATTAGCTGCTTCCCATAGACTATCTAAACCCGGTCAGCAAACACAATTACTTTAATCACTTTAATATAAAGGCAATTTTACCTGGATAATTTGTGTGGTAGCTTATCAGGGAGAATCTTGTATGGACTCCTCCTACGTGTATACGAGTAGAATACCAAATTGTGAATCAATAAACGCTTATCAAGCAACTACTATGCCTCCATATATTTTTCCCTCCTGTTAACCAAGGCTAATTTTGCAAATATATATTTCCAGGATGGCTGTTTAAACTAACTAAAAGTACAGACACGATGAAGAGTTCCATTCTGGCAAATTTAGAGGGAGAGGTTTTTAGTGGGCTTTCATGGGAGAGACATAGAGGTGAAAAAGATACAGCATAAGGTTTGAAAACAGTGGTGAGAAACACTGGGGGAAACGGTTTTCAGGATGGAATGAAAATTTCCTTTGTTCACAGAGCAACCTCCTTTCTATTTCAGTCTGTCCTCTGTGTCTCCTAATAGTCGTTGCTTCATCATTGTTAAGGGTCTTCCCACATTCATCCTAGCGATCGTAGTAAAAATAGACATCTTTTTTCTACCCCAAACCTCCAGGCTAAACGCGTTACTGCACTCAGCCTGGAAAATGAGCTGAGATTTTATCATGCATGTAATCATTTCAAATACAATGCTGTAGCCACCTACTTGGTTCCGCCACCCGAGAACTGCAATACCCATAATGCACTGTTTTCGTTTCCTGTTTCTACCAATGCAATGCCTAACTTGATCTCATTTCCACACGCATAGTCACATGATACGTTTCCTGTCAAGATGGCGGACAATCTCCCTTCGGAGTTTGAAGTGATCGTAATAGGGACGGGTATGTGGGGCTCTGGTACTTGCCGGACAGAGTATAGGAAGTCTGTCGGTTCCTACTTTGTGAGTCAGTGGCAAGGGTTGGCGAGAAATTCCAGGGGTTGAGCACTGGAGGGAGGACGGAAACGAAGTTTGGCAGTCTGGATGCAGAGCGGGATTTGGCAGCTCCAGGGAGGGGCTCGGGCCCGCTGTGTTTAGCGCCATTTGAGTAGGGGGTCGATCTGGTCGACGCGGAAGGCTGAGGTTGGTTGCTGCGGGCGATCCCTGTAATTGCGTTAGAGGGAGGTGGGTTTGCAGTGTTCTGAGAATAGAGGGTCGGGATTTTATCAATGGAGACGCCTTTGGCAGGACATGATTCCCTCCTTGTTGATTTCAAGGTGATACTTCCCATCATTCTGTCTCGCTATTTCATAGGGATTTTTCGTATATTTATATAATCCTAGGGTGCAGTGCAGCTCGGATACAACTGAGTCCTCAGTTTTGTTTTTTTTTTTTTTTAAAAGGTGCTCAGTTTTTACCCGTGTTCGTTTTAACTTACTAGGGCAAGGGAATGGATTCTTTTCTATTGTGTAAGTCTGGAGGATTGTCATTTTTGAGGTAGCCATTATTCTTGTTTTATGGTGCAGAAAGAAAGCATTCTGCTTTCTAACACCCACCTACCAACCCACAATAAGTGAGCTGAGGAGAACCTTCTGTGACTTCGAGTTCAGGTGTGTGATCTTGTCGTCCTCTTGTTTTCCCACCGTTTATTTTCCATCTTTTGCGGGGAGCCAAAACCCCTCTGCAATTTCTAGTTGACAAGTTCAACATGCAGCACTTGGCAGAAGACATCTGGCAGCAGCTGGCATTTTGTTTTCCTTAACAGTGTGAAGGGTGCGTTTGAGACGGGGTGAAATGGATTGTTGGGTGGGGTTTTCTCCTGTCTGCAGAATGTGGTAGGCCAGAGAAGCTCTGGTGGATGAGGCCTTTCGGGTGTGTCATTGGATTCAGTTTCTACTCTTTTCAAACAGTAGGAGCAGCCATGTTTCCAGGGCAGGAGTAAAAGCATAGCCGCCTAGTTTCCAATGCTTATTATTTGCCAGTCAATGCACTGAGCACTTTACAGGCTCTGTGGAATTCTCCCAACAACCTTGTTAGAGTAGGTATTCTCTACACTTGACAGAAGAGGAAAATGGTGTTTTGAAAGGTTGCAATTTGCTGAAGATCACAAAACTGATAAATTTCCAAAGGCCCAGCCCAGCCCAGAAGGCAAATCAATAGTTCTGATCTTCTGACTTAACTCATATTAATAGCAATAATTGGCAGAACTCAATTCTAGACCTTACTAGGCTATTGACTAGCTGTGTGAATTACTAGGGGTAGGCACTTAATCTCTCTGAGCTTCAGTTTCCTGGTTTTGGAATACAGGAAGGGTAAACTATGTAGTCTTTCTGGTGTTACCTAACCAAAAATTCTTTTATTCTAGTTACTCCTGGAGAATTGTTCTCAACACAGTAAGGTGGTGTTGATTCTATCCTGAAAACTACAGGGCTGCAGATAACCTTCCTGTAATTGCTATGAACAGATGTGGGAAGAAGCCAATAGACTATTCACTTTTTCTCTCCCGTCTGTCCTAACACTGAGAACAATATCCATTTGAGAGTAGTTGTGATACTAAACTTTGGTTCTATGTTACTCTTCTTCTTTTTTGTTACCAAGGAACTTGGGTGTTTTAAAAAATTTAATGGATCATTAAGTGATTTTTACCTTATCTCCATTCAAAATTAATTGATAACATTGCTCATTCTTATTAAATACTGTTCATTCCCATAATAAATATTCTACCTTGTGATTCAGTTCATAACATGGACTACTTCCTTTGTGTTGGAGAATGTTACGATAGAGTTAGGAAGATACTGTGAGTGATCCAGAAGATTGCATCAGGAGGGATCTGAAATCTGGCAAAATATGCATTTTAGACTTATTTCAGTGAGAGTGATGTTATTATTCAAAGTATTGGAAGAACTTATTTGAAGTTAATCCTAAAAATTAAGTTTTCCATAATCACTTAATGAACATTTCTGACTTCATCAAGAACAATGTTTAAGTTTATGAATTGAAGCTTTGTTTTTAGGTATGTCAAAGTGGAAAAATTGCATAAAAGTTATTTCCCAAAAATCATGATTCCAATAATTGCAATCATTACTTATAATTGGAATTACTTTTAATGTGTTTGGAATATTTCTTCTCTGAGATAGTTTGCTGAAAGCCATTCAAATATTTTTGCTTTACTAAATGTCTGAGCTTGAGTAAATCATAAGAAAAGCAGTGTTTCATAGATTCAGTTTTACTGACAAAAGTAGAATTAATGATGCATGTATCAGAAACATGAAGAAATATGCTAGGACGTGTAATTTTTTTCCCCAGCAGATTTAGTTCTAGTTAAAAAGTCATCAACAGAACAATTGGTGCATCAAGTCAAACCATCTATGGAAAGTATTTTAAATAACTTTGTTGATAAATTTGTGTTTCTTTTTTTTTGTTGTTTGTTATACTAAAAGGTTTTCCTTAAAATCATGTTTTGCAGAGATTATGGGAAAATAAAGTTTTGTCTGTATTTTCTGAGTTAAGTCCATTTCCTTCTGGTTACAAAATACAGGAAATATCTTTGCAACATCCAAAGGCAGAGGAATAAGAGAAAATACTTGAACCATGGAAAATATAGAGTAAATTAAATAGGGAAGGAGAATCAATTGGAGTCTTAAGGGAGAGGACAAAGATAGATATGTGATAAGTGTCTAGAAAGTGGCCTTTAGTTTGGGCACACAATTGTCATTTTCAGATGTTTCACAATTTCAAAAGGTATCTGAATGATAAGTTTTTGGATTATCATCCAAAAAATTAGAAGAGAAGCATTATTGGTTTCTGGTTAAAAATAGTCCCAGGGACATAATGCCTCCCTGAAGGTGACTTATCTGGCAACCAATGCAATCTGCCCTCTGTAGCAGGGCCAACTCAACAGAAGAGCAGGCAAGATGAAAGTTACGAGAGCCACGTGGTAATGTCAACAGGCTTCTTATGTAGGGGAATCCCTCTGGCTCTCACTTAGGGCATGTACATTCTTACTTTAGAAATAATTCTAGCCTTCCCAGAGTATCCTACTGGAAGATACAGGGGTTGGCATCAGCTTTTACAGAAGCTGTCTTTGGTGATGTCATGAGACATAAGTGACAGTTATATCCTTATGGGAAAGGGATGAGTCTAAGAGCTGAAAGGCAAACTTGCATTAAATGGCACGATGGCCTGGGGCCATTTAGTGTAGTGACAGACGTTCAATTTTCAGTGTTTTCCACCCACATTTACTGAAAACTTTGTCCCTGCCCTTGTGTAGTTTACTGTATTGCCTATTCTAAGCAACTCTGTGCCGTTGCTGACAGTTAGATCCTGAGAGCTACTCATAAACCAATGAGGGCTTTTCATTGAGTACTTCTTGCTTTCTGAAGGTGGCATAGAGATTCTGTCTGCATCCCTTTCCTTTCTAATGTACACCACATACATAATATTTTGGATTTCTTCTCCTATGATGGTTGTGGAGTAGGCTAACTTAATTTTTTTCTAGCAGAGCATAAACACATAAATCTTTTTAAAGAATTGTATCACTAAAGATTACGGGGAAGGAAATGAGATAACCAAAATAACACACATGGAAATTACAAGTAGTGTTGCTTCTAAATCCAGACTACCTTGCTAGATAGTTCTCAGCACAGTACAATACTGGATGTGGCAGCATGACACTGTGGGGCTCACTTGACCTTCCTGAGTGGCTTTTGGCAAATTACATAACCTCTTGGGACATCATTTTGTTCATCTGCAAAAGTGAGACATTTGGCCCTGGCTGGTGTAGCTCAGTGGATTGAGCATGGGCCTGCGTGCGAACCAGACAATCGCGGTTCGATTCCCAGTCAGGGCACATACCCGGGTTGCAGGCCGGTTCCCTGCAGGCCAGTTCCCAGCAGGGGATGCATGAAAGGCAACCATACATTGATGTTTCTCTCCCTCTCTCCTTCCCTTCCCCTCTAAAGATAAATAAATAAAATCTTAAAAAAAAAAGTGAGACATTTGAGTTAGTGACTTCTATGATACACATCTGCCAGCTCTGAAATTGATCATCGTGTGTGAATAATCATGACTCTGTGGAAAAGCCTAGATTCTGTATAATCCATATAATAAGTCAAGTCGTGTTTCATATACTTGACAAAATTTTCTATCCAAGTGGCTCATAAAAAAAAACCATTTTCTTGAAAATGATAAGCTGCTTTTACCAGGTAGGCAGTGCTGCTCTAGTATCTAATGTTGGTTGAGAATCAGAAACATCAAGGGAATTCCCTTTGGCCAGCAGCTCACTGCCCATAATGTCCTTATGTTGGGGGTGGAGTAGCTACACTTCTATAAATGTTGGGGGATGGGAATGTGGCAGGTGGTGTCATAGCAAGAGATACTCACCGAGTACCTGTTTGTGCCACACTGTGTGCCAAGTGATTTCCCTCACATGTTTGTCATTTGCTCCTCTACCAGGGGGCCAACATGTGGTTCTAACATCTCAGGATGTCCATACTTCCTCTGCTTGTATTTCCAAACATCTACGGACCTGTGGTCTACAGATTTGTTTTAAATTGCAAGGTGCCATCTGTTTTTGGCTCATGAAATCAATTCTAGCATTAAAAAAGGTGTAGAATAGAATATAACAGATTATATAACATGTAGTCAGGATGAGTATAGTTTTATGAAACAGTTCATATGTGTATAATACATCACTGTGTAAAATATACATATCTTTATGTGCAGGGTGGGGCAAAAGTAGGTTTATAGTTGTGACTGAAACAGTTTATTTTTTCTTTCTCTCTTTTTTTAAATTATAGAGGTACTCTCAATATTTTATTGGCTCATTTTATTTTATTTATTTATTTTTTAAAAGATTTTACTTATTTATTTTTAGAAGGGAAGGGAAGGAGAGAGGGAGAGAAA